TGGGAGGACCAGCAGGAAGCCTTGGGGGGGGTTGGTGGGACAGCTCAGGGGTCCGGATCCGGGACGGGGAAAGGCGACCACGCCATCCCCCAGCACCCAGCGAGCCCAGCAGATGGAACCAGCCTCGCGGGCCTTGGGTCCCCTCCGCTCAGGCCGTGGGGTCCCTTTGCTTTCTTCGGAGGTGGTTTCCGACCAGCAGGGAGTTGTCACACGGGTCGCCCTCTCGCCCGGGGCTATCCTACACCTACACCTATAGTTCCGGCGGCCTGTCCCTTGCAGGCACCCTGGAGGTGGGTTTTTCCTTTGAGAAGGGCTCCTTGGAAGAGGCCGTAGAGAAAAACAATTTCCAGGGTTACCCTGGCCACGGATCCCCCAGAGTGAGTTCACAGACAGAAGCACCTGAAGGCCTGCAAATGGCTCAGAGGCTTGGAGATGAGTTGAGGACAAAGCCACACTGCTGGGGCTTGTCAGGCCCCCTCCCCTGGCAGTGCTCTGCCAAACGCCTCAGTTTCCCCAGCTGTAACTAAAGGGGGTGAGACCTGCCATGGAGACCTGCCAGTGGCCACTCGTGGAGGACTCAGCCCGTGGCACAGACTAAATGAACTGTGTGGAAGACTCAGGTTGTTGCAAAATGAGAGTGGGAAATTATTGCTGGAGAAGGGAAAGCCAAGGGAGATTGCACAGTTTGGAAAGGAGAAGAGCCTTCTGCTTGGACCTTGGGAAGATGTGCAGGGGTTAGGAAGCTTGTTGGGATGGGGTTGTCCTCACCAGTTTGATATCTACAACCTCAGGTCATAGGCTTGCTGGTGTCCTGGGAGAGCCACCCAGCATGTCTCTGAGCTCCAGGTGGGAATTTTTCTGTTGATGTTGGGACACTGATGAGCTTCCAGAGCCACCACCATGTCCCAGGGATCATGCCAGGATACACTGCCCATCGGGTACCTGTGTTCTGGGGGGGTTGAAGCGGGTGGCAGAGGGCACATGGTGTCCTTGCCTCCCAGGGAACAGTCCCAGGGGGCTCTGCAGGTTGCTGGCACTCTCACTTCCCCTCTGCACACAAGCAACTGGGATTAAATCACCACTGGTAAAATTAGCATATGACATCCAGGCAGGTGGGTGGCAAAACCTGGGCTGGGGAACAAAGTGGGCTGCTGGGGACGAGTGGGTCATCCCAGAGCTGAACCCAAGCTGAGACAGCCCCAGCCTGGCAGCAGCAGGGGCTGCTCAGCACTCCTGGGGCTCTTGCAGAGGGAGAGGGGATGGGGCCCAAATGTGGCCACGAGGCAGGTGGGTGGGAGGCTGCAGAGGTGCCTTGGGAAGAGCTGCAGCCCCCGGAGATTTGAGGCTGGGGGG